TATAAGACAAATTTCGGCTGCCTAAATGCCGTAATTACTTTTTTATTAAGATGGGCAATTTAGGCACCCATGTATATATATGGTGCTATTTGATGCAATATCATGAAGTTTAAGTGCAGAATTTTACGTTTATTGCACTTAACGCATTGTCTTATCAGTTATAGAAGAACATATTTGCGCACACCTAGTGCTCCTAAAGAGTCATTCAGGTCGGGTTTGAGGTTTGTTCGAACAAACTCGGGTTCTACTAGTGTATTATTAAAATCATCCGGTAATTTATTATAGTTCAATCTCTACCATGAATTTAGGCAATTTTTTTTAAACTTGCAATATTAACGTTAATTTTAAGACTAGATTTCAATCTATTATTTTCATTTATACTATCGTTTTCATACACATTATAGGTTACCCGTAATTTAATCACTTGTCATGTGTAAATTTTCGGTTTTTATGTTCTAGGTCGATTACCCGAGTTTTTTTACCCCTTTCGGAGCACACCATTTCACTCCTTAGGTGACACTTCCTGGTAGATCTTTAGATCTTCCTTAAGTACACGATTTCGGATAAATATTTATACATTTACATTCATACAAGCAGATCTTGAATGAGTGCCAGTACTTTTTCAGTAAAAGATCCAAGTATTAAAATCTGATGATTAAACACGAGCTTGCGCATAATTCCCTATTAACCCATAATATAGCAGTGCTGCTCATTTCACCGACAATCATTACAAAAGTTCACTTAGCCGACATCATGTAGGGTTAGGGTTAGGGTTAGCGTTTTATTAGTTGCAGGTATTTATTTTAATAAATTGTCACTTGGTATGATGTCGGCTAAGTGAGCTGTCAGTGAAATGATTGTCGGTGAAGTAAGGCGGATTCTAATATAGTGCCCGAGTATTTTATAGCACCAAACATGATAAATGAATTACAACCTCTTGAATATCTAATTACATCCACACGTGAAAACATGATAGTCTTATAGAATAACGGATAATAAGTTAGACATCACACCGTTAAAACACGTATATATAGGCTTGTGTTTTAATCATGTAAAAATTTACCTATTCCTTCGATAAGTAAATTTAATAAAAACCTCTTAAGACTTAAACATTCGGGCTGTCGCTTTACACTATGTCTGAAACTCTTTTCTTTGAACAACAAGATGGGACAAAAATTGCATACAAAATTCTCAAATCTGAAAATGCTAAAAGTGAGATTCCTCTTGTATTAATCGCGGGAATGTAAATATTGCTATTTGATATTATTTTGTATTTGATATTTATTTTCATTCTGTAATAATTTATCGCAATCTGTAACTTAAATTAAGTAATTATGTTAAAGAGTTTTATTTTGGCTTTGAAGAAGGTTATAAATTTATTATCATTATTAATATTGTTATTCAATACGTATATTTATTATAATATTGTGATTAATTGAATTATTTTAATCATTAGCATTGGCAAAAAATCAACAAGGTTCGTTAATATTGTCGAAAATATGCTAATTGTTTACATTCCCTGTATATTCAATTACATTATCATAATAATTAATGACGTCCTAAAACTATTGCTGAAATCGAAAATCGTAAAGCGTAAACTTTAATACTGTACCATACTGTACCGTATTATGACTTACAACCACCCACAAGAGTGGTATCCTGATTTTTTTTATATATTAAGTAAAGAAGACGGGAACTACTTTTGCAGGTGGTTGTATACGTCTGTAGTTATCATATGTGGTGGTTAGAAATATCTGTTTTCGATTTAGTTGGATCAAACGATATGCATAATTTTTTTTCCCGCGAGTCCGATTATAATGAGGGAATCACTTCAACTTTGTCATATTTCGCAGGACTCATTTTAGTGTCCATATATTTCCTTTTCATTGATAAATAATTTCCACAAAATACAACGATTATAATGTGGCTATTTCCATGGTATTCACGGACTCTCGGCTAAATAAATTATGCATATTGTCGATCCACGATCAATATTATATAAAGTTTGCAGTTTAATGTTTTACGATTTTATAGATTTTGTATGCTGCAGACAATTTATTGTACTAAATACATAACAATAGAATGTCATAGCTTATTAACTATGATAAGAAACAAAAATATTCAAATTAAAATCATTTAATTAGTAATTGTGTTTGATAATCGTGGAATGGGAGAATCAACCGTTGCTTCTTATAGTGATCCTATCACGATCGATTTAATGGCTCAAGATACAATTGCATTGATTAAGTATATTGGAATTAAAAGATTTAGTTTGTTTGGAACAAATATGGGTGGTAAGACACAAACTTTTAATTATTTAATATCTTTCAATGAGTTTTACTTTTTATATGTAAAAATTTTATAGCTAGAGTTGCTTTTACTGTTGCCTTAAACCTTCCATCTGATTTGAAGTTAGAGAAATTAGTTGTTAGTTCTTGGTATATATATATTTGATTAATTTACAGTATAATCTATGCTTAAGTTAACTTACTTTTTTTGTTGAAGTTCTCCCCGAGAGGACATGACTACACCTGTGCATCAGAAAGTTAATAAATATTATGAAGTGTCAAGCAACCCTTTTCCCGATAATATTCAGGGAATAAAAGAGAGACTTCTTAAAAGTGAATTTGATAAAGATCTTGCTAAATATCTGCTTAAACATCCCGATGTACTTGATAAAATTGCAGAGATCATGTTTAGCAAAATCCATAACAGACCATTTGAAATGATGAGTATGTATACTTACATATGTTTTAAATTTATCAATATTAACGCTTTATCTAATTTTACTATATTTGTAGGACGTCAGTGGGAGGCGATTAAAGCTTGTGACCTGCTCCCAAGACTAAAAGAAATTAAAGTTCCAACTTTTATAATTCATGCAGAAAATGAATTTTCCTTTACCATTAAGGATGCTGAGTTACTTGATCAAGAACTTCCTAATTCAAAACTTTATCATATTCCTAATATGGGACATAAGTAAATATCATTATTTAAAAAAATTTTATTTGTAAATAATATTGCAAAATATTCTAACTTTTTCAAAAAACTTTAGTATTTTTGTAATGGAAGTTGAAACTACTACCAAAGCCATTTTTGAATTTTTGAATAATTAAATTTTAAGTAGCAATTGCTCCTCATCATTTGTGGGTGTAAGAAAAAAATACATTGCTAGTTGAATAAATAAAAAAATTTATAATGATTATGTGCTTGATACAAATCTTTGTGATACATATCATAAAAAATTGTGCCCTTTATTGTCAACCATGTTGAATCAAATCAATGAACATACATAAAATAACCTCTATTCATAAAAACTCTGATAATTTTGACTAACCAAATTTCAAGACCAGATGTATGAACGTAGCATCCATTTTTATATAAATAAACTGTAGTTTTAAAATAAACTACCATTTATTTATATGTAATGCAACATCTCTACATTTTTGCAAAAAACAGAATAGCACAAAATTTTATTTAGAAATCATCTCAAAGGCCTAATTAAAATGTTTCATACGAGGCTTATTTATAGTACCAAGGTATTTTAACACCAACAACGATGATTGTAAGGGAGAGCTTGATACTTTCAAGCCTAGTTTAACATGGTTGACGTTAAAAGGATAACATGATCTGACAATAAATTAGGTATTCGGATATTCATGATTTATTAGGCATTTATTATAAAAAGAATGTGACTTTATGTTTATTTGGAAGTGGAATTTGGAGAGAGTCTGTTATTCAACAAATAATGAGAGCAAGCACTTATAAACATGAAAATTTTTTAGAGCGTGATCATAATTACCACAATGCACTTTTGGTAGCTTCCGCGTATTCGCGGTAACCACAGCGTATTCGCTGCAACCACCGCGTATTCGCGATTGCATGAATTAAGCCTCCAACAATATTATAATGCCTATTACTACTAAGGTAAGATTAACATGGCTATGATAGTACAATTAAGGAAGGCAAGTGAAAACTTAAAGAATTAGACAAATACGGAAGTGAGGTGACGCGGGAAAATTAGTCGTTACACTATATGCAACTTAGAAATAGCTTGTTTTAACTATCGTTACATCTGATCCTAAATTTTGATTTGTCGAATCGAAAATTATAGGGAGAACTTCAAACCAAAGGGGAAATCTGAATACAAGTTCACAAGTCTGATGTCACTAAATATAGAAAAGATGGTGGTCTACTGGTTAATATTAAAGCGTTATTATACTTTTGGGTGCTATAGTGATAAAATGAATTGTTACAATTATTTTGATAAGATATAAATGTGAATTTCTTAAATGGTAACAAATAAATTTGGGATCAAATACTTAGTTTTGTGATCGAATTTAAGTTTAATTTCATAAATTGCCGTGATGATATAAGTTGATTGAAGTTGTGAAAGCGATTAGATGATTCAAAATGAAAAAAATTATTGCTGTACGTTGAGAAAGTGGAGACTATTAATTTTATATTAGACTATTCTAATAACTATCTAAATACTCTAAATACTGTATTTGACAATCTCAAGACTCCAAAACCTACCTTGAATTGGAAGGCGCATGGAAAGACTTGGTCCGAGGTTAAAGGCTTTTCGGGTCTTGTAGTGATGTTCCCGGAGTTAAGATAAGTCTTCTTAGTCTTCTTGGTCTTCTTATCCCTGAGTTGTTTCTGTTGTATTGCGAAATATACTCTATATCTTCAATTGTATCGCTTCTTTCGAGAATCACGATTACTGGCGGCGATCGGTGATTTAGTTAATCTAAGATCCTTACATCACGGGTGAGAGATACATGGAGATCGGATGTTTTTTACTAATACGTCACGAGAATTGTATGTCACGGGTGATTTGTTGAAAATTGTTCGATTAATAATTAGGTCACGGGATAATCGACTAATTTACTATATAACGATAAGGGCGAATTTGATTAAGACTTTTCAATATTATCGGGATACTAGTAATGGATTTAACGATTATTGAAACGATTTGGGTCAGAGGGAATAATTATTTTTGGGAACAACTTCTACTAAGATGATTTCGAAGTTTTAAACTCAATACAGTCGTCATCCCATACAATCACACAGTTGGGCACATAGTAACTTTTTTTAAAAATGTGCTTATAAAGAGGTTGTGCTTATATGGAGGTTTTTTTCTTATAAATTAAATTATAGCTTGGCCAAAATAAAATGTGATTGCCTATGATGTGATTATCTTTATTTAAAGGTGAGCGGAGGGCTCTTATATACTAAAATTTACAGAAGACAAAAAAGATAAAATAAAATTTATTCAATCTATCAACTCTTTGGAGTCGATAGATTCCATGGAGTCCATTCTATCGATTTCCCACTATAAATGAAAAAAATAAAAATAGAAATAGCACAGCCTATTTTGGGTGGTGCTGCGCCCAGGTCACCCATCACAACGTAGGTATGTATGTACGTACGTTGTGAAGGGAAAAATGTGGCTTGAAATAATTTTTACCGCAGTAGAGCGATGTGGGTCGGAAAAGATCTAACAGATCTGTTAGATCTGTCAGATCTGTCGGATATGTCGGATCCGTCAGATATGTTGGATCCAGTTGATACATTATATCTATTATATCCATTAGATACGTTATATCTAGCATATATGTTAGAATATTATATATATTATATATGTTAGATGGATTATATAGGTTATATATGTTAGGTAGAAATAGCGAATCATAGTATAGCCGAAAATTGTATATAGGGACCAAGGAGTTTTTAGTTATCTCTAGCTATAGCTAGTTCCGGTTTGCACATATAATTATACACATTCATTCCCCTAATTCCAATAATAAACCATATTACCACCCGTGATCCTGAATTAGAGCTTTGTGACATAGTCTAGAGCTCTATTTGGCCCTAATAACTTGGACCAAGTCTTTTCACGTCCTCTTTTGTGCCTACCACCATTAGAGTCTAGATAGAGTTTTGGTGGTTTTAAGGTTTTAGAGTGTTAATTCGGATTAGTTTAGTGCAGTGTTTCGTCCTAAACCTCCCCCCAAGTCCGAAACGTTTCGCCTCTGGAATTTTGGTTTCGCCCAAAATCTGAAACCTCCTAAATGGGCGAAACTTCCGAAATGGGCGAAACCTCCGAAATGGGCGAAACCTCCGAAACAGCAGAAACTTCCAAAACTCAACCTTCAAATCCTTCCAAACTCTCCATTTTTTGGAAAGTTTCAGATCTTTCCTCTATTTTTCTCTCCACCTTGCTTGTAATTTACGTTCTTTTGATATTCTACTCGGAATAATTCAGAAAGTTTCAGATCTTTCCTCTATTTTTCTCTCCACCTTGCTCGTAATTTACGTTCTTTGATATTCTACTTGGAATAATTCAGAAAGTTCGTCCAATTTCTAAGGTTTCAGCCTAATTTTAGAATGCTTTTCACATGATCCAAAAATTTTCATATTTTATTGGCTATTTGTTTCAGAAGTATTTAAGTATTTGGAAGTTTCCCCAGCTTCAGAGGTTTCGATCGGCTGAAACACTGGTACAGACATACATATTCTTAAAAAATTCAAAAAAAAGTTTTCTCTGGTAAAGCCCACTCCTTTTTATTCCACAAATTTGAATTTTAGTCATTTATATAAAACTTGATATTTATCAGTTTTGGCAAGTTTGTCCAGTTTCATAGGTTTCAGCTTTGAGGCCTTTGGCAAAACTAGGTTTCAGAGGGTTCTCCAGTTTCACCCGGCTGAAACTTTTGGTTTAGGCCGAAATACTGGTTTAGTGTAGATAGATACCAAAATTGAATATCTGCTATTTGCCAAGCCAAGTAATCCAAGAGGAATAACAAGCATCCAACTAGTGTTCTTATGAAACTGAACTGAACTGAACTTTGGTCAAGTTCAGGTTCAGATTTAGTTCAAACATGTTCAATATTGAACTTTTAAGTTAGGTTTATGTTCAGTTCAGTATTGAACTTTTAAGTCAAGTTCATGTTCAGTTCAGGTTCAGTTCAAAGTTCATGAACATGTTCAA